TCTCTCTCTCTCGCTCGTTCCTCTGCTCTCTTTCTCCCTGTTACACAGAAACTCAACCATACACACTCACACGCAAATACGCCACCGTTCCCGCATTACCGACTGGCAACTGAAACTGATTCTCAGACAAGGGCTCACAAAAAAGACATGGTTCAACATCCTTCAAAACTAGTTAACGAGCTCATTTCTCTCACACTTTTCTGTCTCTATTAGAACTGTATTTTACTCAGATCAGATCCCTCCCCCCTCCAAGCTTTTCCCCTCAAGGAGTAATGTCCTTATTTTTAATGTAGTTGTTCATATTAACCCTTCGTCCACACTTTAGATCATTTACGTGGTTGTCTTTGAACCTGCCTGTCTGGGCCAACCTGGTCTGAGAGGGATACAGCGTTCCAGCAGAAAGATCAAGAAACTCGATAACAATAGTTCCCCTACAGGGAAATCGAACTAACTAGGGTCTTCTGGGTGCGACGGCGAATCGCCTAACCGTTACACTACAAATACAAATGTCAATATCCTGACAACAAGCCTCGATCCTCAAAAAGGAACACACAGAATTACTACAGTATTTGTGTGTGATCGATGAAAAACTCTACCGCTGACGACCTCGTTCGAGCTAACAGAGCAATTTTCTAAAGCCCCACGTTTTCTTTTGGTCCTAATAGAGATCAATCGACTCTCCCCGCAACGGGCTTTCCATGGCTTTTGTTGTTGACCTAATAGAAATAGTCAAATAGTCAGAAATACCCTTACACTTTATAAAAATGAAAATCTTTTATGCCCCTATGGACACAATTTATAGTGATCAATCGACTTTTCTCCAAAGAGTTTCTCAAGGATTTTATTGCTGATCTAACAGAGATAGTGAAAAGATAAAGATATCCCCTATATTTTCACTAAAATGAAGATGTTTTACGACCCTATTGACTCACTTTAGATCATTTAGGAGGCAGCTTCGATCCTGCCTGCCGTCAGGGCCAACCTAGGCTGAGAGATATACAACGTCACAACAGAAAGACTGAGACATTGATAAGGATCAGACATCGTCCTTTTTTTCTCTTCTTTTTTTTTTTTTTTGTATGTTATTCTCAAATAACACCTCAAATCTTTGGCACTTACTATTTATGTTACAAGTGCCGTAAAATTCTTCCTAAAATGAAACTGAACAAATCCCTACTCTTTGCAGTGACGTCCACTCCAACAAGATCGGCAGTATCCCCAAGATGTCGGACTGCAAGAATCTGACCATCCTGTAAGTATTATCCAGAGATATTTGTGTCACGAGGAAGTTGAATCAGGTGTTTGTACATTTTGGGCATACGGAGTCATTTGCACCTTTTTAAAGTTTGTTAATTTACCTTATTTTTCTTGATGAAAAAATTAGCCATCTATAAATAGAAGACAAGATAATATATGCGATTGAAGGAGGTCGGGGTCGACTGGTGTCAACGAAAAAACAAGAAAGAAAATGACCACCAAAGTTTGGTGATTTCCAAAAGTTTGGGTGTCATTAGAAATTGTATTTTTACATATTCTATGCCATTGATCAACTGTTGTTGTTTTGTTGTTGTTGTTTTTTTTGGGGGGGGGGTTTGGTTTTCTTTTCGTTGGGATTTTTAAAATGGTAAAACCCACCCAGATATGTGTTTAAAATTGTCCAAAGGGCGTGAAAATGTCGGTTACTTCGACTTCATGATTTTGAACTGCACCTGTTTTCACCACGATGTCACATACTTTGCTGTGGTAACCTGTGGGGAAGGAATGGGGGACCATGGTCGTAGCGTATGCTCTAGACGTGATGCATGAAGAAAAAAAATTCTTGTGGGTTTTCCGGATATCTGATTCTTCAGGAAGAGGAAATTCTTTTGTAGTTTTCTCACAGATACTCTATTCATAAGGATTCTCAGTAAATATATACTCAGGTCTTTGCCCCCCCCCCTTTTTCACCCCTCAAATATCCCACAATATTATTACTTTATTGACAGTTTTCTTTCATTCTGCTGTCGGGGATTTTTTTACTTCTCCTTCGATTGTTTTTCTGTTTGATTGTTAGCTGAGTCTGTCTTTTAGATGTTGTTTTTATTTCTGTTTTATTTTTTGTTTGTTCTTTTATTCACTTTATGGGGATTGGGGGGGGGGGGGATACCGTAATTACCAACCTGGAGTTTGCTTAATTGAGGGATATCTGATCCCTCTCATGCAGAAATCGTAAGAAATCGTTTGCGCTCATATGACCTAATGCAGTTGCCAGCGCCTTAAAACACTTACCAAAAATATTTTAAAGAATCGTTCACTACATACACCACCCTACGAGGGACCTTCAACAAGTCTTTGCCCTGACGATAAATAAACTGTCTACGACAATGGAACTTGCAAAATGTGACCTCTATTTTTCTGGCACGCAGCTTGTGGAGTTTTTGATAAATCCCGATAACCTATTTGAACTCGAAGAGCACTTTTATTAAAAGTAGATCTAGTTTTGAATACGAGGCAAGCTGTGGACAAACATTCTACTGCTGCACAGAAGTGTTCTAGGGCAAACTGCGGCGAAGGCAACTCACACAGCAAATTAATGTTGGGACGTCATTCTCCTCCATCCACACTACCCACCCTCGGATTTTTTGCTTTTTCCAAATCGGAAAAGGATTCAAAGGACAGTGTTTACACAGTGATGAAGATACTATACCTGCAGGTGGGGCAATGATTCGATTCCAATGACAGGTCATATAAAGCTCAAGGGCCTTTGAAGGTCAAAGACAGATGGCAAAATTGGTATCAATTGGCAGGTTGATTTTTTGTTGTTGAGAAAGTAACATTGCAATAATCAAATTTCAACTTTCTTGCTTGTTTTATTTTTCCTAGTCAGGGCAAAGACTTACTGAAGGGCACCCGTACACCTCCATAACGTTTGTAATAAACCGGAACATAGCGTTCATTTCCCTCAGAATGACTTCCTTTTTTCTCCTGTACTGATTTTGATGTCTTTTAACCAGAGAGAAAGTTCTATTACCCCTTTTAAGAGTGCAGAAAGCTGTATGACTCTTTCTTTGTGTGTACAAAGCCCTATGACTCTTTCTTTGGTGTGTGGAAAGCCCTGCGGCTCTTTCTTTAGTTTGCAGGAAGTTTTATGACTGTTTTTTTTTTAGTGTGCAGAAATTCCCATGACTCATTTTTTGTTGTCTGGAAAGTTCTATGACTCAGGTTTTAGTGTGAGTTTCACCTTGCATACACAAAAAGAAGTCAAGCCAGGCAGCCGAAGTGTCTAAAACTTCCCTAGAACATGAAAATTCAAGAACACGACAAAGGGAATTTGAATCAAGGTCACTCGTCCAATAGCCTGGCATAAAACGAACTGAGCAAACTGTGTTAAGCTGTGATTATTAAAAACCATCATTTTTACATCATGTTGTAATCGGACCTCATTTTTAAATCAAATATCCTTCTCGTCATCAATGGACTTATTCTTCGTATTTTATTCTCTTTTTTTTCTTTTCAAATTCCTTCTCCTTGTCTGGGTAGAAATATTGCAAACAACGAGCTGACCTCTCTGGACGGCCGTCTCTTTACTGGCATGGATCAACTCAAGGACCTCACTCTGAGCATCAACTTCATCCATGACATCTCGGAGGACGCCTTTGTAGGGTTGTCCAGCTTAGAATATCTGTAAGTTATATATTTTTTTCGATAGTAGTTGTTTATTTTCTG